CTATGGATGTGCGGGTGGTGTAATGGCTAACGGCTCGGAATTGGAAATCAGAGAGCTGGATTCCGATTCCAGTCAGGTTCGTTATACTCTTATACTCATGAAGCCACCTCTTCTCCCACCATCTATGGGTTAATTAGTGGGATTTGTGTCAATAAATCGATATTATCTCCAAGCTATGGGTTAATTAGTAGAACTTCTATCAGTAAATAAACATTATCTTCAAAAACATTCTGACAGAATATTTCCAGGCTTAAATTACCTGCCAAGGGTTGATAAGCCGTAGAAGACAAATCAATCAATCAATGAAATACTGATTAGCTGCTACAGGCATGTCTTTTAGATTTATTTACATTCTATGGAATATAAATGTATAGAAATTGCAGTGGCCACAAAGTGAGGGATCAGTTCATATATTAATTGTAATGTAGAATTGATCCCCCACCTTATATCCACATTAAAATTTATGGGTGTTGATAAGCCGTAGAAAACAAATCAATGAAATACTGATTAGCTGCTACAGACATGTCATTTAGATTCATGTACATTCTATGGAATATAAATGTATAGAAATTACAGGAGCCACAAAGTGAGGGATCAGTTTATATACTGACCTCAATGTACAATTGATTCCCAACTTTATATCCACATTATAATTTCTTGCTTATTTATCAAATTCTGATTGGGTATGAATCCACTCCATCTCCCCCCAGCCAGCTATGGGTTAATTTGTAAGACTTGTATCACTAAATCTAAATTCTTACAATCTAAAAATATTTTCTGGCTTTAAATAACCGGTAAAAGGTTGATAAGCTGTAAAAAACAAATCAATCAATTTAATCCTACCGAATTATTATTCTTCAAAATACTTCTCAAGTGTCATTAGCTGATCGACTAATGATACAAAAGATGTTAGCATAAGTTTCCAACAGGTAAAAAGCGGTACAAGACTTTGCAAATAAATTGGCCCCTGTTTCAAGAATTCGTCACCTTTGCTTTTATCATCAATTCATAGAAGATTCTGCAAATAACCTTTACCAGAAAAATTAAGAAATCACACATTCGTATTTAATTAACCCTTCTCTCTACACAGTGCCATGATATGACACGATTTCAAGTGTCTCCTTTTTTATATTAGTCTTCTTGTTGTACACATTTTTCTTAAAACTTCCTTTTTGTTCACATGTTCCATTCATGGTATTCTCAGCATCCTTCTGTAGAACAGCATCTCTGTTGATTTAAGTCTCTTCTTCATCTATGAAAAAAATGCCTGGCAGTCACTGCCATATAGGAGGATTGATATCAGGTCCAGTACATACTAATTCCGACCGGGAGGGTGGCAAGCATGATTGGGGCCCCGGGCAGTGCTTTGTGACCTTCGTTATATTATCAACTTTTGCTTTTGTTTTACCTACATTATATACGTTACAAATTGAATTAAGTACAACTGACGACTAAAGGATGAACATTTTTCGTAGATTTTGATGTCATTTTGCGGTCACTTTTTTATTTTTTTCCAAATCTGTGAATTTGCTTTGATCATGCTAAGTCACGAAAAAGATAAAGTACATAAAATTTATTATTTTTATCCATAATGTTGAATATGTTAAAATTCTTCAACTTTTTAACAAGAAAAATCTCAAGCTGGCGTTAGAAATTGTCGCAAAACATTTTTGATTTATTTAAGATTAAATGATCTATATTATGACAGGTCTCTAATTTGGATTTAGATACATTGTATTTGTAGCGTACGTACCAAATATAGCGTCGGGTCGATTCACTAAATGGAGCAGGAACACCAAATATATAGGTACTACTATTTATATTAACGATTCTTCCACGTACAGGATTCAAGAAATAATAACAACAACTCCAATTTGTTAATCAACAAATATATATTGAATAAAATACAACAAGCATGAAATAAAATCGTATTCACAATGTATATTAGAGAGAAGGAAGTTCTTTCCCCTTGACTATAGAATGATTGTAATCAATCGTTTGAAGAAAGTTCTCTTGTGAGATAAATGTTCCTAAATAATTGTTAGAACAAAGTTTACATGTGAAGAATGAATAACACCACGAATACAATTGATTGAAATGTGTTGTGAATAAACTGGTTTGAATTAACAAAGTTCTGGTTAATTGTGCTTGGCAAGAGTTACAGAGAGCAAATGTAAGTTTGTAGTTACGAAATTCTGTGTCTGTGTGTGCGGTAAAGTGTGATGAGCAAGATCGTGGATTTGTGTTGACGGCTGGGATCTTACTGGCGACTTGCGAAAAATTTCCCTATTTAAGGAAAAGAGGTAGGCTCCCACAGAACCGCGGGAAAACTTGATCTTACATTAAAAATATGTGATTGGTTAAAAATTAACCAATCACTACACACGTACTAAACAGAATAGGTAAATATGCTCAGAACCAAAAGATTCAAAGGAACGACTGCGATGGCTAAATTGTCCTATACAAAGGTAGTAGTAATTTATTAGCCAATCGCAGGCGAATAAAATGACTTGGAGTGTATGTGGGTGTGAAAAACATAGCAACCGCTATATATTTATTTTCATTTATTCTAGTTAAATTGTTCACCTATATTGCATATGAACAATTAAAGTATATAATTAGGTTACAATAAAAATTTGTATTTTATATAAATATTGCCTTTTGGAAATTGAGATTTAGTAGAGTGATGGGGGGAGCATATCATGGATTCAAGGGATGAAGCACGAGACCTTTGCACTGGTAAGTGTCTCGTACTCCCTCACGAAAGAAAATGAGATGCAGTCTCTCAGACGTAACATTGTCATTTGTTCACTCCGGACTTCCTCAAGTAATATCGGCGTAAGGGTCTCTAGGTCTGGGCGCTTATACAAGGTGCGGCAGAAATACCTCCCACATATGCCCCCCCCTTCCCCACCAAAAAAATAGCTCCCATATAATAGTAGGACAGAGCGGCAGAAATACCTCCCACGTAATCGTAAGACATCAGCTAAATGTCATGGGTCCTTACCTATAACAGAATGAACCCTTCCTAACACTATATATACTACGCCTCTCAAGAGAGAGGGTCGAATCGAGCCGAGCTTCTCGGCTTGACGGTCGAACTCTCTGCCTCTGAGCAGAGAGGAACCCGGACGAGGCTCAGCCGAAGGGCAGAGTCTCGTTCGGGGAGGTTGACAACCCGATCCCGTTTATACGGGTTCTACGGGCATTTTTTGGTCGAGCCTACGGGCTCGGGAAACCAACGTTAAACTCGGCCTTGTGCCATATGCAACCCTCGTTGGTGGGGGTGGCTAGATACCGAATCAAGCCGAGCTTCTCGACTTGACGGTCGAACTCTTTGCTTTTGAGCAGAAAGGAACCCGGACGAGGGTCCGACGAAGGGCAGAGTCTCGTTCGAGGAAAATGACCAACCCGATCTCGTTTATACGGGTTATACGGGCATTTTTTGGCAGAGCCTACGGGCTCGGGAAACCCACGTTAAACTCGGCCTTGTGCCACATGCAACCCTCGTGGGGGTGGCTAGATACCGAATCGAATCTAGCCGATAGTAGTTCACTCCAAACCAGACTGACAGTCATACTAACACCTTCCACATCTTGTATTATTATTTCGGGTAATATACCTTCGTTATTTCTACTCTTGTGTTCGTGCTGTTCTTCCTTGGTCCTAACCTGGACCATAACACTAAATTAAGACACCATTGCCATTCGCCTAGGTTCGCTAGGGCCACACAAGTGATAGTTTCAAATGTAGGAGGTTATTTCAGTCGCAACCTGTATAACTTCCTCTCATGGATATACAGTCAGCTTCTCGGTCAGCTCTTTGATTCACCTGGTCTTTCTGATGTTCTGGTGTAACACTACTACTTTGATATCTCTTAGTACATATTGGGGTCACCACAGATCAAATTTTTAGATCAAAGGCTCCAGATAGACATTAAAATCGATTCAAACCACTGGTATTAACTGGCGTGAATCGCATACTGCACACCTATTCTATATTATTTTCAAATTCATAACTTCCTCAAATTATTAATTTTTTCTCTTTTTTGAAATAAAAGATGTTCCAAAAACTTGAACCGATTTTAAATGTGAATCAAGTTTAAGCGTCTAATGATTTTTTTTCTTTTTTTTTTTCAGATTTGGCGGACATTTGGCCGATATTATTTTTCACCTGTAATTGCCATGAGTTAAATTGCATGATCCAATAGAGAAATAAATATATTTTCACCAATAGCACTAATTTATTTACAGCTGACTTTGAGCCGTCTTAATGAAACACCCTTATATATAATCCGTCTTAATGAAACACCCTTTAAATTAACAGGAAATATATCTCCTACCAACTGTATCGGCAAGTTCCCACACAGCACGATATAACAATTTCCAGATAGTTAAATCTCCACGCTTGTTTAACACTGATATCCCCAATTCGTTACTTGCATTTTGGGTTGTTCGTCTTCCTAACGACTGAACATTGTTTTCTAAAAATTGATGATTAGTCCTTTATTCTCGCTTTCCTTTACTACCTTGCAGGTATATAGAGAGGCAATCGTAAGAGAACTATAAGTTCCGTGGTTTCTCTTGCCGTCCCTTCTGCTAGTCTAGCCCAAAGCTTATATTCTTTTGGTCAGGCTCCCAGACTCTGGCGCGAACCTTGGTTACGGCTAGCATCAGAAGTCGCTTTGTGTTAATTATTTTTATTGGACAAAATTATTTTATTTTCCGACATTCCTTTCTTTTTCATTTTGTTATATAGCGGAATTTATGCGTGGATTCTATCTTATTTTGATAGATTTATATTCATAAATAAGTATTCTCTGGTTCCGGCGTTTTTCGGCTGGGTTCAGTCTTTCCTTCTTCCTCTTTTAATTTGAGGGTTGCCTTCTCATTAGTTGAGAATGAAGTATATAGAGAGAAGTTTAGAGAAAAAGAAAGAGACAAGTGTTTTAAAGGAAAGTGTAAATGCCTTATTTTTATTTTATTTCTTTTTTGTTTATA